TCCTTCCAAAAGGTGAATCCTGGTGGGGCCCCAGGGACGGGGCTGGGGGAAACTCCCCTCCCAGGCGTTGCCGGGACTTCCCACCCTTGCTTCGCCTGCCAGGGGACGGGAGAAGTGAGATCTGCAAATCCGCTGAGGTGAGCAGCCCTTTCCGGAGGAACACCCGCCTGTCCCGGCCCCCTGACTCATTCCTGGCACCGGGGTCCGCCCGGATCCTGCCTCCACCTGCGGCTTTGCCTTGGCCGCCCTGGTTTTAGTGCATCACGAGGCCGGCTCCGCCCGCCGCAGGTCCTGGGTGGCCCTGGGCAGGCTGGTGGCCAGAGCCGGGCTGGGCACGGGGGTCCCACGGGGCATTGGCGCTGCCCAGGAAGGGCCTGGCAGCAGCAGGCTGGCTGCCCTGGCATGGTGGCCCTCTCTCTGGCTATTTCAGGCCGTGATCTCAGCCTGGTGGCATCCCTCTGCTCTGGCCATCCCTCCGCTCCAGCTGCGGGAGGGATTGAGTGTCCCACAGGCACAGCGGCAGCTGCCCATGTGCAGCGTCGGGCACTGCTCTGGCTAAGCCGGATGAGGGAAGGGCATCCCAGCCCCGGCGGCTGTGCGGGTGGGGGAGCAGATCGGGACACCTCCACTCCGAGGCAGACACCTTTCCAAGGACGAGTCCCAGCAGGAGCGCTGAAGGACGGTGACAGCCCTTGGGTGGGCACGTGCCCTCTGTGCCGCTGTGTCCCAGCAGGCAGCAGCTGCCCGGTCCCTGCTGGGGTCTGGTTCCCCCCCCACCCCCGGCGCCTGGTGCCTGGTTTCAGCGTGGTGGGGGTACCAAGGTGGACCATCGCCCCAGTCTAAGTGCCACGAATCTGCCTCGGAAGCCCCTGCAGCTCCTGTGCCCCCAAACGTGGGGCCTCCCCTCGCCCAAGCATCTCTCCATAGCCCCAGCCGAGCACCCGCTCAGTTTTCACCTCTTCTTCAGTAGCACCCAACTGCAGCAGCCTGGGAAGGTCATGGAACTCCCCCACCCCCGTGTCAGGGCTTGTTAACCCCCGAGATGCCACTGCCCAGGGTTAACCACATAGCTGGCACCCAGCACGCGCTGCCTGATCCTCCCACGGCGGTGCTGCCGTCGGCTTTCTGCACTCCCTGACACGCACGGAGGGGATGGGAGATGCAAGGAGAGGCGGCAGCAGGGACAGGTGCCACTTCCACGTGCTCCATCCCACCATGCTGAAAATCTGTTTCTCCTGGATCCGC